TGTAAAATCAATTTATCAAATAAGGTTTGTGATCCGTATGTTGATAATGTTGAACATATTGTCGAAGATTTTGATATTGGATGCATTGCGGATTTGGGATCAATTAACATACAATAAATAGAAGGGCAATTTACATGCATACGACCCAATTCTTTCGTATTCACATATCTAAAATCTAAACTTCAATTATTGCATTTCACCCATATCTTTCATATCACATCAAAAATACAGCAACGTTAACATAGGAAATATGACATGTATGTAAATGTTGATGTTTCGGTGTTAGATATGTAAATACAAAAGAATAATGTGTCATGCACGTAAATCTTCCTAAATAGAAATAAAAGGTGAAACTGCGGCTAATTAGAGAATAAGACCACAAAGCAAGGCATTGCCTCAATATTTGATTTAGTCAAAATGGCTCATTATTTGAAAACAACCCCGTGTTCGTTATGTTAAATGACTCTTACTTGATTCGTTCGCTAAGTAAATGAGTCATCAAAAACATTTTCGACCGAAATATTGCCAGTTAAAATATCGTTGATGAATTAAGCAATCTGAAATTTCTTCAGAATTAGGGTTTCCGACAAGCGAGAAAGTTGTGGTCATTCGCCCATCCGAAAGCCCTCAATTTTCTAAAATCTGACGGCTTATTATTTGTTTTCGATGTATTTGACCACGAGAAAAAAGCTGAAATTTTGTGGTGATTAGATAATACATAGTTTAGTTTGTTTTTAATAGTTGTATCAAATTAATCAAATTAACATAATACATGGGATTGAGTTAATCTTAATTAGATTAATAGAGAATTCATTGAGTTTTGACTAAAATATTGGGGCATTTACACACATGCACAAAATCCTTATATATTTATATATCTAACACTAAAGTTTCATATTAACATTAAAATATTGGGGCATTTTAATATTTAATGGTTATTCTTTATAATTTATGGAGTACCCACATTTGATTAGATAATACATAGTTTAGTTTGTTTTTAAGAGTCTTTGTACCAATTAAATCAAATTAACATTATACATGTGTTTGAGTTGATCTTAATAAGCCTAATAGCGCTCTGATTAAGATATTGGGGTTGTTGAATTCAGATTTGCTCTATGAATCACACCCAATGGATAAAACTATGGGAATCATGAGGGAAAAGTAGAGAGAGAGAGAGAGAGAATGAGAGGAGAGAGAGAGAGCACGGGGACTTGACCGTAAAAGCAAAAAAGAGGTACTTTTGAGTTCTTTGACTCATTTTATGTATCGAAAATACCTGTCTGCCTTTAATTTAATAAGGGGTTACATGACATTTTTTTTTTCACGTATTTTCATATTTGTAATTGATTTAGGCATCTTTTTTTTTTTTTTTTTTTTTTTTTTTTTTGTATCTAGGCTATTGTATGGTCAGTGGCATGGATGCCCATTTATGATTGCCCTAGATGCCCTTTAGGACGTCTGGCAGACCTTCGATCGACTGGCAACCCTACGGATGTCTGTTAGCCTTTCGGTCGTCTGGCAAACCATTAGTCATCTGGTAGACCTTCAATCGACTATCTGACTCTTCTTTGGCGGTGGTTGACAGAAGTGACCATTTGATCGGTCGACGGGTTGTAGGGCCACCGTGTCGTGAACAGTGGGAGATTGAATGGATTGCAAGATGTGAGAGATTCTTGGACGTGTAGTGACATCTTTCCTCGAAGCCTTCTCTATTCGGCCATCACCTCGTCTCTCTGTGTCTTGTAGTATCATCCCTGAAGTTGTGCACTTATAACAATTAAGCCTATGGCTGCAAAGTTGTTGACACTGAAGAGGGTCTCATTGGAGTTGTTTACGCAGAGATCTATGCGGGTGAGTCGTCGTGTGAGTTTAAGGTGGCCGGTTGGTTGAATGAGGTCGCTGACCAGTTGGGCTGAAGTAGCCCGAAGGACTTTCTAGAAGGATTAGAAATTGGCTACATTGAGAATGGGTCGTGTACTTATCACTTCAATCTTTGGCATCATATAACAATATCATTATCACTTAATCTTTTAAAAGTAAAATATAAATTTTCATGCATACATATTAAATATTATGATGTGATAAATGTAAATATTAAATTTTAAGCGGTAGATATGTAAATACATTAGAATTGTTTAGTATGCTGGTAAATTTCCATAAAATATTTTAAATTAAAAAAAGACCCGAAGAACTTTCTAGAAGGATTGTACAGTTCATTCAGACCGGTCTTATCTATCTAATTTTGATGTCCTTTATTTATTTTTTAAGCAAAATAATTATTTTTGATTAAAATAAAATAAAAAATTATTAAATGAGATCATTATTATGAATTCAGATTGGGAAGGGAGATGTAAGATCAACTTATAAAATGAAATTAAATAAATTTATATAAATAGCACACACTTTTTATGTATTTACATAACCAAAACTTTAAACTTTATATTTACATTTATACGCATAAAAGTGTGTATTTCATTTTTCTTAGAAATAGTGATAGTAGTATTTGGTTTGATCTTAGAGATTTAAGTTGAGCATATGCAAATATAAATGTTTAGGGGTAGATATGTAAATAAATGAGAATATTATATTTACACTTATAAATATATTGTATGGTTACCTAAACATCATGTCTAAGCATCAAAAAATGAGAACAAAAGCTTAGGGTCCGTTTGGGACAGCTTATTTGGTGCGATGGCGTTTTGAAAACGTATCTGACATGCTTGGGTAAACTGTGTTTTGGTAGTTTATGCGTTTTCAAAACGCTGGAAACAACTTTTTCACACTGCACATGTCTAAGTGCGGTGCAGCTTTCTGGCTGCGGTCTAGCTTTTCCAAAAAAAAATAAAAATTTGTAGTAGTTATCGCACCTAGCTTATCTGCAGATTATTCAATAAGCTGCAGCTGCCCCAAACAGACCCTTAGTCTCCTCTAAAAAATTTCATCTTTTTTAAAAGGAAAATTTTTTTTTTTTTCAATTAATCCAAATGAAATAATAGAATCAATGAAAAGCACTAAATTTTAGAACTTAATTTGTTAAAAAGATATAGAGTGTCTTCTTTCTCTTATCTACATTGCATGCACATCTTTCTTATTTATTAAACTAAGGCCTTCTCTCTCCCATCTTTCTCTTATTCATTATAAAAATAATGTTACACCCTCCATGCCTCAAAAAGTTGACATCCTAAATTAATTTGAAGATTTATGAAATAATATGAAGAATCTCTATTAAACCATAGAATGAAGATGAGATGCTATTGATAAGAAATGGATTATATTAGATTGAAAATAGACATTTAAATTATATGGGTTTAAATTTTAAATTTTATAATACACTCATCTAGAATGAATTTCTATTTTATATATAGGAAAATTTATATACATGCCATAAAATTATAAATGCAATAATGTAGAGCACCAAAAGTTTTATATTTATATGTATTATAATCACATCAACACCTATAAACAACAAAAGGTATGTTTCACTTTAGAAAGGTTAGTATTGGTGGTAGTCAATTGAGTGCTATACACATAAATTTTAAAATTCAAGAGTTAGAGATGTAAACACATAAGAATTATTTGAATTTATTTAAATAAATAATATATGTTTATGTGTGTTCAAAGAGAGATAGCTAGTAAAAGAGATTTTCTAAAGCAATTTATTTTCTTACTAATATAATTTATAATCAATA